GATGTTATTGTTAATTTGCGGCTTCTCGTCCACATTTGCTTTTTATGACTGATTTATTTTGTTACCATAATTTTTGCCCACCCCGTAGAACTCTGCAAAACGCGCTTAGATCCTGAGAGGGGGTAGAGGGGTGGGAGGGACATTTCGTAATGGGTAACTAAAGGCCATTGAAATGCGACAAATTTCTGCGTAGAGTGAGAAATCTCATTTCCTCGGCGTTCCTCTCTCTTTTCAGGCCCAAAACCCCTGGCTCACATTTGTCGACGCACTCTCGCCACCATGCCAGACAAAGAGCAGAACAGGCATAACGCCGATCACAAAAAACGCACAAAGCAAAATCGACGAAAAATTGCTCGTCTACAAAAAATCAGACAATGGCATCGGAATGAGGCCGCCAGCAGTTTGTAAACCCGAAGGACTCCTACAAGTTCAAACGCATAGGGCATTTCCGAACCTGATTAGAGCGCGTCGTACGAACTCCACGAAAACTCGCCTCTTTTTGCTGAAAGAATGCAGACGAACGGAGACCGTAACCGAGGTCCGCATTTTTCGTGTAAAGACTAGAGCTACGCTTTTTAAATGGTTTTAACGTGATACAATTCAGGTTGTGCCCGAAGTGCCCTGCTCGAAACACTCCCTCCCCCACTCCGCCTCATTTTTGCTCCCAAGGACGTTGTATAGGGACTAACAAATGAAACCTGGAGCTACACTGCTTTCGAAAAAAGACATCTGGCCAATGTTTTCGTCTTATAGCTTCCACATCTGAAACGATTAGCTGTTTATAAATGTTCAATTTTTCGTCATTCTATTTGCGTCCACACATACAGCCACCATTTCAGACTACAGAGCCAGCGCAAAAAGATCTCCTATAAAGCTGCGTTTGGAAAAAGGCGGACTGGACGGCATCAGATCAGGAGTGCCATTTACGGTGATCGGAGAGAACTGATTTCGTATTTATGCTCTCGAGACGCTCAAGATTACCGTGAAAGTAAGTTGCAATCAATGGTACGGCGATGTCGCGCCATGTCCATTGCGCGCAGCTTCATGCCCAGATCCTTTGAGGGTAAAGTTCGGACTCAGACTCATAGCAAGCTCTTACCGTGGCTAAAGTTTCTAGGCACAATCCGCCCCACGTTCGATATCTTGTCTGTAGCGCTAAGTTAACCTGCTATGCTCCCTCTACCCGTACTTCTCTACCATTCTCCACGCGCTCATTATCTCTCTCCTGCCCTGCCTTTTGAATTTTCTCGCAGGTGTGAGCAAGAGGCTCAATTTTTCTTGTATTTCACGATTATTACTTTTTCGCTTTTTTCTCCACTTTAGATCATGCTCATCCAGGTTCCATATTTGAAGTGGAATTCCGCATCAAAGATCACGCTGGCTTCCAGGCGGACTCCGCGTTATCACCGATAAGATCTGGGATAGATAATGGTTGGATGAGCGTAGTCGCATGAAAGATGCGACACATAAAATAAGATGATACGGTTGCATGGAATAAGTTGCACTCCATAATGAAAATAGGACGGTACTTGATGACGGTATTCTGAATATTGCGCTGCCAATGCAATCCCTTCAACACCTAATACGTAGGTGTAGGTGCTACCGCGAAGTGGGTTCCAGCGCCTTATTCACGCATTGAAGAAGGCGGCATTGCCCTTGAAGCGTCACCTATCGTCCCATTTGGTAGGGTCCCTACACAACCCACTACTTAACTTTCCGAGGTCGGTATCCTATCCCTCCCCTAGGCTAGGGGAACAGAAAACCCCTCGTAATTTGATTTGTCTTCCCAACAAAAATCGTCCTGAGGAGCTTCACATTTGTAAGAACATGTATGTGTGGACAGCGAGGAGCCTCAAAGAAGAGGTGGAAAGACGTGATCAAGAAGGACCTAAGTGAAGTCACGGCCACAGCAGAAGATGCCCTGGACAGAGCAAAGTGGCGACGACTGACAAAGACAGCGGACCCTGCGACTGCGCGGGACTAACGCTAGGGAGAAGAAGTTCTAAGTAGGTGTTTATATAGCCGTGGGTGTTATCACAATCATCCATTACAAAACATTGATATCTCAAATCCTGCGAGCTACCCGATTTGTTAGCGGTTTGTTTATTCCATGAGCTTCCTTATCACTCACTTCATTTTGCGGACGGACAGACAAACAAACATACATACATTTTGTGTGTATGTAAGCTTACTCACCTTCCTAATCGGCTGTGCTAAGGGAATGAGAGACTAAGCGCGGAGAGGAGAGTATGAGGCGAGAGAGCGCTACAGATGAGAGAGCGCCAGACAACAGCCTGATAAAGAAAAAAACTGCAGCTTCAGCAGCTTACTTTGCAAGGCCCAAGCGCTCTTGTCGGTTGGTTTCCGTGCACGGGAACGCCACATTTGTGATTGTCCTCTAGGGGTCTATACTACAGACCGAAGGGAAGCGTTCACACGACCTCTGCCTGGGTTGTGCCTTCAAACGCCTATTGCTTGATTCGCATGATCGATTCGTCTCCTCCTAGCCTAATTGCTTGTGTCGTGAACTCTGATCAAGACTTAGCAATGAGTGGGTGAATGTGCTTCATACCGCTTGCTAAGAATAGCGAGACCAAATCGACTTTGGCGAACATCCTCTCAGGGTTTGCATTTGACTAGTGAAAGCTGAACTGAAATTGATGATGTTCAGATTTGTTGTTGTAAACAGTGATTCACCATGGCAGCAAATTGTGCGTTTAGTGGTAAACAGTGGTTCACCATGGCAGTAATTGCATTTTAGTGAATAAGTTACGCTTTAATCAGCAGCGTAGCAAACTACATTTATGTGAAGAGAATTTGCAGTGATCTAATGATAAGTTTATTAGGTTGTCTCATAAATAGTGTCGCTTTTTTTCAACCAAAAATTTTCATCTAAATCCCATGCTTTTACATCGAGTCATATACCATTCGAAAGAGAATTGTCTGCTCTACAAGATGCTATGTTCTCTTCCACCTGTTCCAGGGTTTTCAAATTTTAGGCCTGCGAAATGGGAGGTCCAGCCGACAAAAATTGACCAAACCGACAACTATCTCTAACTTTATCTTCCCTTGGAGAAATCAATCAATGATACCCTCTACTTACTCATGACCTCTTCTAAACATTACACTATTAGGTTTCCCACAAGTCGCGTCGTTCCTTTTCCAGACCTGGTTTTTCAACCAGAACTCGACGGTCAAGACCTGGTTTTTCAACCAGAACTCGACGGTCAAGCACCATTACCTGAGATCTAGGTCGAAATTTTTTATAGCCGAGACATTGAAAAACTAGTAGAATTTGAAGAACAAGTCATGACTAAGTTAGGAATGTACGCCTGGTTGATTTTCTCATCTTCTCAGGGATAATTTTTTTCAAAGAAATGCGGTCACTTTCGTGGATAAAACACCTTATTCCTAAACACCTAAAATTCGAACTAATTCCCAACAAACATAAAAACAAAACAAATGAGCGAATAGAGCAGAAGAAGTGCTCACAAAAGGAACACCACTCGATATGAAACAATGGCGTTTACGAGGAACAATTTCAATTTGAAAATTGCTATGGCTTATCGGTCAGCCAATTCGAAAAAGAAACACGGCAAAGCTTTTTCGGCAACCTAAGGGTGGAATGTTTAGAAGAGGTCATGAGTAAGTAGAGGGTACATCATTGATTGATTTCTCCCAGGGAAAATAAAGTTAGAGCTAGTTGTCGGTTTGGTCAATTTTTGCGGCAACTCTCGTTTCGAATGGTATATGACATGGTAAAAGCTCAAGGATATAGTAGAAAACTTTTTGTTTGAGAAAAAGCGACACTACTTATGAGACAACCTAGTATATAAAATTAAGCTCAGTTACCCAAGTTTGAGATAGCATGCATGAAGATTCATGTGGCAAGAAATTACGGCGAGCAAACAAGCCCCCACGATGAGTACCGTGTATCAACCTTGACGCACTATCCATATTGTAGGAATACAAAGGATAGCATTCCTTCAGTAATCAATGAAGAAACTGTTTCAGCCATGCAAGGTGATAAGGGGACTATTTACGAAGAACTCAAAATTCCACATCTTTATATAACTGATAAAAATGGCTACAAGCGTCCATATCATTACTATGGAACAGTGCACGCAGTGGAGGGCGATGAATTCAGAGCAGAAGTCGTCAAACTAAACAGATTTTGCAATGTAGGTTAACCTTTCTAATAGAAAGAACAGCGCATTGGTTCCTTTTATGAGGCCACGAATTATTGATAATGTGTAAACGCTAATGCGAGACCATTTTATAGATTCTCCCTCATGGTTATGTTGTAAGACAGGAAGATTTTGAGAACCAAACAGAGTTCGAAGAGGTATTCAGTAAGGTGAGTGATCCTTCATTTTTCATTTGAGACTAAGTTTAGTTGGACTCAGTAAGGATCACGCCTGTGAATGTTATGGTGCGTATGTTGACAAGCTATGCTAGCTTAGAATTGCTGATAATGATGAGACTTGATTAAGGGCGCGAAGAACCGTTCCATCTCATAACATGTTCATTAGCCCCACTATTGGTTCAATAACAATAGTTGGAGCGATACAAATGTGCGGCTACCAGAACGTCCAAATCACTCATGCTAATATTGAACACCATATTTTGAGAGAAGCACAGCAGGGGCCGCATTGCTAATGGCTGTGCGTGCTGCCTGAAGTGCTCACGGAAGGGAGTTATGAAATGTTGGTGCCGCACCCATGCGTTTTAGGTTGCGAAAGTTGCAGTACCTCCGGCGGAGTGGGGCACGCGGGACAGATTGCCTATTGGAGTAATCGCGGAATGTATTAGGTTGTCGGAAAAGTCTTTGCGCATTTTCTTCTTCATCTTGCAAAATCTTTTGGAATCGTTTTGAAACATTCACTGTAAACGCATGTGAGCGGTGGTTAATGCTCTCTCCACAGCATTTCTGTCGTAGCATTTCGCAGCGTTTGAAGCTGAAAAAATCGTCTTTCACTGAAGGTATGTTCGACTGCTCCTGCTTTATAAGCCCACAAAGTGCGTCGATTGAAGCGATGCAGCAAGAGGCCTACGTGTTGTGATGGACCTCCAGACTATCTTTCACAATGTGGCAATTGTTTGATTACCGATGTCTAGATACTGAGAAAAAACCACAAAGCTGGTCGGCCTGGTACACTAAATGAACATGAAGTCAGTTGGTAAGGGTTCCTGGTGCCATGCATGGAAGTTGCCAGAGCTTTCTTATGGTTAGCGTTATGAGAGCACAGTGGCCGTTCCTCAATATCTCCTCAAAAAGAAGAGAAATTATGGCAAAACGAGATTTCGTGGTCTGGGTGACAACCGCCTTCAGATGCCTTCAGATTTTGCATGAACATTTTGATTTAGCGCCTGTCTCTCGTTTGACCGAATACCTTTGTTGGTGGTAACAAGAAGTGGGATCACGTAAACCACACGCGAAAGCACGACTGGCTCGGATGCGTAGAACAAAGGATTGCAACGCCGATTCGAGAACTGCAACTTGGGAGGCAACTTTGAAAGCTCATGAGGCTGCAAATGTTTCGCTCACGGAGAGCTGCTGCCAACGAAGTCCACTGCTATTGGTGAACAATAATGTTAGCAAGTTGATCGGTTCGCCGGCATGGTCCATGGAAAATCTGGCAAAGTTCACTTTCTCTCTGCAACGCTCGTCCACGAATTACGAAGAAGATCCAGTAAAAGTCTGCAAGCTCTTATGGAACGATCTGACCCGCCTGGTGTGTTTAGCAAACCTGGCGCAGACAGACTACCATAAACCTCTGCTGCTGTCGAAGCAACCGAAGAGAGGCAGTCCGATGATCCGAACATACTCGGAGGGGACTTCGTCTAGTTTTTCGTCTCAAGAAGCTCAGGATTTTGAACCACCGGTAACCAGAAGTTACCTGCTGAAAGAGCAGTGTTTCGGCGATTGTGATGGTGTATGCATTCAACAGTTGTTGACCGTACTAAAGAAGAAAAATAGTTTTGAAAAAAAGTTGCAAATGCGCAAAGACTTTTCCGACAACCTAATACTTTTATGATAGTACAGCAAGAATATTCGTATAACTT